TTAAAAACGTTTCCATGCAGCTTGTAGAGATTTCACTTTCGGCACTGTACCTTTTAATTTCTCCTTAACTAACTTCCTCATTTTTGTGCAGTTCCCCTTTCTGAAATTAAATGTTCCCGTGATGGGCTGCTGTAGCGTTCCCCCCACCCAGGGATGGTAAATGTAATTATATTACGGTCACTATTACCAGCAGTTCATCTATTTTCATCTCTTGGACAAGATCCTGTGCTCCACTTAGGACTAAATCAAGAATTGCTTCTCCTCTTGTGGGTTCCAGGACTAGCTGCTCCAAGAAACACTCATTTAAGGTGTCAAGAAACTTTATCTCTGGCTCCCGCCGTAGGTGACAGGTACCCAGTCAATAATGGGCTAGTTGAAATCCCCCATTATTATTGAGTTTTTTATTGCTATAGCCTCTCTAACCTCCCTGAGCATTTCACAGTCCCTATCACCATCCTGGTCAGGTGGTCAGTAGTATATCCCTACTGCTATATTATTATTATTATTCGAGCATGGAATTACTATCCATAGAGATTCCATCATACAGTTTGGTTCATTTAAGATTTTTACTTTGTTTGACTCAATGTTTCTAGTGCCACTCCCCCACCAGCATGATCTGTTCTGTCCTTCTGATATATTTTGTACCCTGGTATTACTGTGTCCCATGGATTATCCTCAATCCACCTAGGGAGTTTGTGGAATCCCTGTTATTGGGGGGTTTAAGAACAGGTTGGACAAACACCTGCTAGAGATGGTCTAGATGCACTTGGTCCTGCCTCAGCACATGGGGATGGATTGTTTCACCTCCTGTGGTCCCTTCAACTCCCCATTTCTGTGATTGTGTGAGGTGGTGCTAGGCCCTCTGCACTGTGGTCAGTTTCCCCCATAGGTAGTCAGTAAAGTAAATGCTGATGGGGCTGGGAGAAGTGGTGGGGCAGAAGGAAGGAGAGCAGGGCATGCTGAGACGATGGTGCTTTCCTGTGTGCAGTACTGTCGGTTGAGACGATAACATGCAACAGGACATGAGTCGACTGGGCTTCTTGTCTAATTTCTCGAAGATAAGGAGGGTACAAAGCTCAGAATCCTCAGAATTGACCTTCCCTGACAGCGTCTGAGCCACCGTGGGAAGCCGAGGTCAGGGCCGGGGTTCGACCTATATTTCACCACTTTAAGAAGCTGTTCCTGAGTGAGCAAGCAGGCCGAGCCCAG